ACAGAGTAAGTTTTCACAGTTGGCTGAGCTGCCAATCTGTCACAATTGGTTTGCTCCATAACCCCATCCTACATTATGGAGAACTGTAAATAAGGACAGACCAACTGCTGGCATTGTGCCTGCAGCAAGCTAGGGATTATCCATGGGGGCAGCAAATTTTATACTAATGTATAGTTTTATGCTGGTTCAAGGACTGGTGAATAGCATTTTAACTCAGCCATGAGGAAGAAACTTCAGTCTCTATTAGCTAAGATATTTGTCAGAATCGTTTTTGACCTCAGCTGATCTGGCTAAAGAGGAAAGGCTCAACAATATGCCCCTCAGATTAATGACACCAGGAACAACCTGCTATCTCCTGTGTAAGTCCAAGAGAAATGAAAGGGCAATTCACAGAATTCTTGTATTCTTGTAGTCTAACCATTGTTAGTTTATGGTTCTTGGACAGTTTATGGCTTTTAACTACTGAACTAGCTCAGAAAAAAAATGGACTAATTCAATGATTGGATTCAATATATTGTGTAAATATGTTTCCTGTGTATATAACTTTGGTTATCATAGCTTTTTTATAAATCGCCCACAGCTTGATTGATAGCAGATTGTCAGCATCTCGGATGAGATGGGCCAACTCTCTTGTCTGAGCTTTTTAAAAATTAAGATACTGAACCCTTCTGCATTTCAAGGTTGTATTCAGTCTCTTAGCAATGAGCCCTTCCTCCTTCAAGAAGGTTTGTGTAAGGCAGGGTGTCAAACCCATAGCCCAGGGGGCAGATGCGTCATGCGCTGGCCACGTCCACCCCTAGTTTAGCAAAGGGGGGAAAAGTCCTGCTATGTCACATGATGATGACGTGACGATGTGAGTTTGACACCCCTGGTGTAAGGGAACCAGGCTATTCTACAAAGCACCAGAGGGCAGGACAAGAAACAATGGTTGGAAACTAATCAAAGAGAGAAGTAACCTAGAATCAAAGAGAAACTTCGTAACAGTGAGAACTATTAACAAGTGCAACAGCTTGCCTTCAGAAATTGTGGGCGCTCCATCACTGGAGGTTTTTAAGAAGAGACTAGATAGCCACTTATCTGAAATAGTATAGGTGCTCCTGCTTGACCAGGGGGCTGGACTAGAAGACTTCCAAGGTCCCTTCCAGTTCTTTTCTATTCTATATTCTATTAATTGAGTCCCATAGGTCAGATATATAATGTATATCATACATACATTGCTTCCCGTCTCCATATCCCAAACTTTTATTGTCAACCAGATTAATCCAGGAAACTCGTGAACAGATCTGAAGGCTAAGACCTAATTGGTATTGTCTCCTATAAATTAAGTCTTCAGAGCATACTTACTTCCACTGTTGGGAGACCATATGGAGTTGTGAAGACCAGGGCTGTATCTCTCCCCTAAGACTATGTTAAGTCTCCTTTGAGAAACATCTAAATTTATGATTCCGTCCCTACCTGCAACCTATTAAATACTTTTAAAAGTATTGGATTTAAAAAATGATGTTCATTTTATCAGCTTTTTGAAACACGTCTATTTATCTTCAAAAGTATGGAGAGAAGGTAAATCTCTTTCTCTCTCTCTCCTTCCCTCCCTCCCTCTCTCTCTCTGTCTCTCCAGTTTTCCATATCATGCAAGAACATGTCAGTGTGAAAAAAAATGCTTGTAGTCATCCAATGAGTCACTTCTGGGAGTGATGGAAATTGATTGCCTTTCTCCTTTATCCCTTACTCACTCTTTTAATGCAACATGTTCTTTAAGCTGCCTATGTTGTATCCCTTCCCCATCACTAGGCCCCCAGAGGGCTCCATCAAGCCCAGCTTGCTGCTACAATCTTCTTCTGATCTGGATCATAACAAAGGCACTTCCTGTTTTGGGAAGGTCAGGGGGCCAGCAGTAAATGTTGGCTTTGGCTCGGGTTTTGCTGTTCTCTCCAGTCCTTGTGCTGCATTGACCTAACCCTGAGCTATGTAAATTGGAACCAGCTTTGGAAGCTACGTCAGGAAGCAGACGCTCCTCCTGCTCACCAGCACAAGAAAGCTGAAATAGCCTAAAATGTGTCCTTTGCCTGCTTTCTGAGAATAGCAAAGTAACAGAGTTGGAAGGGACCTTGGCGGTCTTCTAGTCCAACCCTCTGCTCAAGCAGGAGATCCTGAACAAGGATTTTCTTGCTTGGTTGTACAATTAAATGCAGATGACTTTCACTCTTGTGGAACCAGGTTTGCTCTCCTTCCATCTAAAGTCACCCACACATCCCATGCTCCATATTGCAGTAGTAGGCAACATTTTGAGGGTGAGGAGGTATACTTAATATTTCAGGGGGTCTGAAAGTGGAGAAGTCATATCACAGTGCAAGGTCAGGTTTGGGGAAGGAAATTGTGAACTTTGGGGTTGATTTAGGTTATGCTATATCGGGCATAGATTGCAACTTTCCCAGATTTCCATAATGAGAAAATATGCTGTCAAATGTCTGCAATATAAGTCCAAGGGACCTGGGGGCCACATGTCCCCTCAGGACAGAGAGTACCTATCTCTATCATATCAGAGGAAACACAAGATTGATTTTCCTTGTGTTTTTTTAGATAGTGAAAATCTTTATGGCCATTGGAATTATTGATTTTCTGTAACTGGGAAGGAAGGAAGGAAGGAAGGAAGGAAGGAAGGAAGGAAGGAAGGAAGGAAGGAAGGAAGGAAGGCCAAATCTAGTCAAGAGATTAGATTGGGATCATTACAACTCTCTTTTTCAGCTCTAGGAATTCTGGTTGCAATCTTTCAGAGGGGAAATACACACTTTAAGATATGGGGGTGGGGCTCATTCAAAACCAATGAAGGGTATTCCTTTGTGTAAAAGAACCAGTTGTTGATCTCACATATTAGTTCCACTCTTGGTAAGATTGCCAAGTAATCAAATGATTAAGTTGGAAAACGATCCTTATAAAGTGATGTCTTAGATGTGATTCTTTGTGAGATGGATAAAAATGGAAGCTTTGAGAAATGTTTTAGAAATCTTCAGCATTAAAGAACTCAAGGAAAAAAGACACAGCCAGAGATCCCTACATCCAGAAGAAAAGAAGGCTGGCGATTGGTTGCACTGCTGTCTGCTAAGCCCGCCTTGCTGGCCACGCTGGGCGATGCTGCTGCCTGAAAATTCTAGTGCAGAATCAGGAAGGCGGTTAGTGGATTTCCTTGCCTTCATTTCCTCTTCTACCAATCATCCCTTTCGGGGAGGAATAATAATGAACTGTTCTGGGGGAAGGGGACGTGGGGTAAGCAAGTGCTTGGCATGGCCGGTTTAGCTACCTGTCATCATCTCCATCCGTGCAACCTCTTACTTGGATTATTTCTTAACAAGCATATATGATGCTCATCCTAAACCTGTAGCCAAACCTTAGCCTGGCTGCGATGCTACAAGGATGGAGAGAGGTATGGTTGGAAGCAGGTGGACAGGATAACAAGTGAGCTCCACCTCTGTAAACCTTACAAGAGAATGGCAGGAGAAGCAGAAACTGTCAATGAGCAGCCACACTTGAAAACAGCCCTTGTAATACGCAAAACAGGAAATCCTCGCCTTACAACCGTCTGTTTAGTGACCCTGCTAAACAATGACACTGAAAAAAGTGACTTACGACTGTTTTTCCCCACTTACAACTGTTGCAACATTCCCACGGTCATGTGATTAAAACTCAGTCATTTGGAAACGGGTTCATATTTATGAGTTCCAGTGTCCTGGAGTCATGTGATTCTGACAAGCAAAGTCAATGGGAAAGCCAGATTCACTTAACAGCCGTGTCACTAACTTAATAACTGCAGTGGTTCACTTAACAACAGCAGGAAGAAAGGTCCTAAAATGGGGCAAAACTTGTCTTGGTTAGCAGCGGAAATTTGGGGCTCAACTGCTGAGTTCTACCTGTAACAATTTAAAAAATGCAGTGCGTGAAAACCCTTAGCCAGTAACTAAGATGGCTTTTTAAATCATTGCCATTCTGCCTTGGAGTTGGTCTTTGACCCTGGCAACCGCTTGGACAGTTGCCGTTTTCTTGGCAAGGTTTTTCAGAAGTGGTTTGCCGTTGCCTGCTTCCTAGGGCTGAGGCTGAGAGTGATTGGCACAAAGTCACCCAGCCGGCTTTGTGCCTAAGGCAGGACTGGAACTCTTAGTCTCCTGGTTTCTAGCCTGATGCCTTAAACACACCACCAAACTGGTCTTGGGGTGGCATAGAACTATGTAAAATACATAGATAAAATAAACCCAGTTAGGCATTTATTTTACAAATTGAAACCATGAGAGGGGGAGTGGGGGAATAAAGAAAACTAGAGGAAGAGTTTGGAGTTTCAGTGAAGAAATACAGAATAAATGTAACATCAATTACATTGTGGATGAACATGACATCATATGAACGATTATTCAAAATGATTGCTGTTTTGAGCAAAAATGCCCTGTGGGAATGTTGCTAACATGAGAAATTAAATTAAACCAAACCATTAACTTCCAAGCAGCTTTGATCTTTCAAGATAAGGCGTACCTGGACATTTGAATACACACACACAAACACACACACACACACACTTCGTTCACTTTCCTTATAACATTTGATAGCATCTAATATGATCTATCTCAGCTTTTCCCAAACAGAATTTCAAATTAATTTAATATTTGCAAACTGAAGATGTTAGATCGTGACTTGCATCCTGTCATCGTGGATGAGCAAAATTGTCCAATAACTTTGAAAGGCATATAGTTGCAATGGCTGGTCTATTGGAACAGTAACAAGAGTTGTACATCCCAAAGGTGCTTTTTCAAGAGGCAGCTGGACTTTCTGGTTTTTCTTCAGAGCTGAAGAAGCTTCTTGGATGAGAAGCGAAATGCCTTCAAAGAAAAACAAGACAGTCTAGTTGCCTCTTGAAAAAGCATCTTTGGGACAACCATGACCTGGATGACTGAGAAACTCCATAGACAACAGTTGTACAGATTATTTCAATTAAACACGTTCTATTACTAGGCTAGTAAAGTAGACATCAAGCATTTAATTATAAAAATATTTTTGCATGGAGAAAATAAAAAGCGAATTCAAACACCTGGCACATCAGGACTTTTATGTATACATATAGATTTGAGTGGATAAGGCAATAAAACCTACAGCTTCTGACAAAAGAGCTTGGGGTGAAGTGAAAATGAATAAATGACATATATTTAATCCTTTTTAAAAAATTTCAGCAGCATACAAATGACAAATCAAAACAAATTCTTGTGCAAACTGCTATTGCAATGCAGTCAGCAAAACAGACTCTGTGTGAGTAGCCTATGGCGACCATTTCAAATCAAAGGGAACATTTGGCCTCATGCAGAAATCTTACATCAAATATGACAGGCTGCCTTGAAAGTCTGCAAAAAGTACGAAAAGAGGATTTGGGAACTGAACTTGATGAATCAGCTTGGAACTCTTTAGAGCATGAAAGTCCCTTCTAATCTGTTTCGATGATTCATCAAGAATTGGCCATAAAAAACAATTCGCAGATTATATTACTCCCATTCAAATTACATTATACTAAGCCCTTGATGTAATGGACTAATGGGGTGGGGTGGGGTGAGAGATATCCATTGAAACCAAATGTCCATTAAATGTTAATTTGGGGCCCCCAAAAGGACATGTGTATATTTTAAAAAAGAAGAAGAAAGGGGGGGGATTTGAGTTGCAGCTGGAGAGCAAGAGGCAGCATGGGTGATCACACATGTGGCAGGGTAGCATGCCAAAAATGAACTACAGCCAAGAGGCCATATGGTGAGTGAGGATCAGTACCTAGAAGCACCAGAGCTGGAATGATTGCACAATTGAGCTGTTCCATGGATCAGAGAAGCTATCAATGCCAAGTAAGAGATGGTAGAGTAAGCAGTGTACTGGGCACTAGGCAGCGCCAACAGCAGCAGCTTTCTGGTTCCAACACATTTTGAGAAATTCATTCGAAGGTTGCTAAACCAAAGTCTGTTAAATTGCTGGTCTACTGGATGTTAAGCTAAACCTTTTTTAGACCGGGTAGTCTGATCAAACGGCTATTAGGAATGGTAATAGGTTTAGCTATATATCTTATTTTAAAAGAAAAGTGGGAAAACAATTAAACCATCTTGGACAATTATTCCTATTGTAGGTTTCTCTTCCATAAACCTAACACATAAACAGCTGCATTAACAAAAAATCAATTCAATTTCTTATCTTTACCTGTCAAATTTATTCTTGTTAAACTGTGAATGCATTTTTCTTTGGATCAAAGGTATTTCAAAAAGTGGCAAATTGCATTCTCTGAGAAATTAGCATTAAAGAGTCTATCAATTATAGATCATTTTATTAACATCTTGGCTCCATATTTTAATGTGATTATTATCAAATTATTTTCTGATAGGTTACTTTTTGTCTATCCATCCCTTTTCTGGATCTCAAATGTTCTTTTCTTGCTGTCCTTTATTATTGTTTATTATTTTATTATTGAAGTGTGTCTGTTTCATTATAAACATAAAGAAAAAGATCTACAGTACCTGGATGCTTGTCTGGTCTTTTATATATGTTTGCAAATAATGTATTTCTTTCTTTTTTTTAAAGAAAACTATATTCTCAAGAGTCACAAGAAAAGGCTGCCCATAACTTAGATTTTAAAAAAATAGAGTATAAGGGGTGGGAGGCATGGAACATTGATTGTAGAGAAGAGGAGATATAGGTAGATGCAGCTTTTCTTATTATTTTAGTAGCATAATAATCCTGAACAGCAGAGACTTCTCTAGTCATCACCCACCTTCAGGTTAGGGGGGGGCTTTCTTCCCATACTAAATTTGGGGCTACTTCAATGCTGTTGGCCTAATTCCCCACTAGCTTAGTAATCATCTTCATTCTGTTGTGGTCTCAGTATCACACTGTGATAGGCTTTGATACAGGAGAAGGCTGTGGGAGGGACGCGGCGGCGATCAATCAAATTGTTTTCCAAATGCACAGACACAATGTTCGAATCTTCTGACACTCTCGTGTCACAGACAGAGTTCAGGGGCACATGCCTAGCAGAAAGAAAGAATAAGAACACATAAAATACATAAAAAGGACTCATTGAGAGTTTTGCAGTACATTCTGTAACTTATCTCCGTAGTCCTTTAATGTGGAGCAAGGTTAAAGCCCTTTCAAAAATTGGAGGACTGAATTAGCTAAGGCCCCTTAATCACAAGTTAGTGAGACTGGACTGGCTGACACTTCCTGGCTCATCTTAGAACAAGGTACAGCTGCTGGGAATCTGCTTTTCCATAAGATGCTACTTTTGAGAGCTTTTCTGTATAAAGCCCCCCTTAACTCTTCCTGGATTAGGCCAAAGTAGGAGTGTTCAAACTTTCCACTTTGACCACCTGGATACCAACAGAGAGGCAAACAAGATTATATTGCAACAAAGAATTAGGAAGTCCAGCATAACAACTTCATCTCTTTTCATTGGGACCTCTTGCTAAGTAAGAAAGAATGAGCACATTTCCTGCCTCTAAATTGAGTTTGCTGCAGCAATAAACTTTGGAAGAATTTAACAAGAGCTGTTTTGTGTATGCCTCGTAGGTATAATATAGGCTTGGAACGGCTTGAGCACCACTTAAGATTTTGAGGAGACTGATGCTGCTTGAAAAGTAACTTGTATACTACTTGCTTACTGGATGCCTTCATAAATAAATCAATATGGATGCATTCATAAATAAATCAATATGAAGCAGAAATGACCGATCACCAGCATTCTTTCCTACACAAAAGTCACCTTGATTAAGAGTCAACCTGGGATTCCTCAGCTTTTGGGAATATGGGGGAAAAAACATAAAACACGGATGCCCAGAAGAGAGCTGTATCACATTTTCATTTTCATTTTCCCCCACCTATTTCTTTTTGCATTCAGGGTAACAATTGGCCAAACCTACTTAAAAACATAGCTGAGCCCCTTTCTTGTACATGATAAGAATGGATTCAATCTTTTGAGGGTATCTAATATTGAGATGAGCACTTGCTGTTTTTTTTCTAAGGCACAGGTGTCAAACTCGCCATGTCACATTGCCATCACTTGATGTTTCACGACATTTTTCTCTTTTGCAGAGCTGGGGTGGGCATGGCCTGTGTGTGACGAATCCAGCCTGCAGGGCGCCAGTTTCATACCCCTGCTCTAAGACAATATTTCTTCCACTGTTTTTCTCAACTGCCCTTTTCCCCAGTCTCCAATAATATAATTTCTCCCACAAAAAAAAAGGATCCTTGTTTTACAGAAATATTTTGGCAGCTCCCGCCCCAAACTAGATACTTGACTTACAAATAATGACAATACCCCCAGAATATGCCCAAAATACCCCATTGTTTAAGATTCTTGTAATTAGCCCCAGTTTAATTAACCTCCAGTTTAAGAACCACTGCTTTAGGGGTCTAGACCTCCCTCAGCCAAGCAACATGTGCATTACGGTTGAAGAGTGTTTGAGACCTAAGCCCTTGGCTAATAAAGAGTATTGGGGCATATGGTCCCGGAACATGGGATCAAACCAGGAGTGAAATCCACTTACCTTCGCTACCGGTTCACAAATGGGAGTGCGCGAGTGTGCTAGCTTTGCTCACGTGCAACACCTCTGCATATGCATAGGACCTTCTGCACATGCGCAGAGCTAAAAAAAGGGATGTGATGATGTCTGGGTGGGTGAGCGGAGCCTCCCACCGCCGGCACTACCGATTTCGCCCGAGCCGGATAGAACCGACCGTATTTCACCACTGGATTAAACCCAATTGCCTCTGTCCAAGAGCTCCTTCTACTAGAAGAGTAGGCATGCAAGACACATGCTCTTCCTCTAGTACTCCGATTACCCTTCCTCAAAGACAACCAAAAGCAAAACAGAATCCCTTTACCGGATGTGGTTGTGGCTCAGCCGTAGAACCTGCAAGCCCTTTAAGTTGATGATGCCACGGGGAATGGCCTGGAACTGATTGTTGTCCAAGAGCAGCTCGGCAAGCGAATGGTACAGCCCTAAGAAGGAGACGGCATGGATGCCGTCATCCCGCAGCACATTATGGGAGAGATGCAGGAATTCCAGGCCAGGCTTCATATGGGCGAAAACGTAGCCGGGGATACGTTCAATGAGGTTGTGATGCAAAGTCAGCTGTTTCAAACGTCGAGGCAGAAATGAGGGCACATGTACTAAGCGGTTGTGAGACAAATCTAGTGCCTCCAGTTTCCTGGAAGTGAAACAAACACAAGGGTCCATCGGGATTGTCAACCGCAGTTATCACTTTTCTCTGGAGATAAAAACCATATCCAGATATTTAGTCATGCTTTATGACCGAGAAAAAGAAGAGCTCGAGATGGGTCTGTGCAACTAGAGGCAAGGCTGAAGGGACACTGGCACTATTAGATGCAGAGAGCAAGAACTTTTTAAATCTGTCTTAGGGATGGTTGCTCTTTTTGTATCCTGTATATATGACATTTTACTCATCCTCAAAGGGGCAAAATAAAAAGGAAAGAACAGAAACCAAACTCTGTTCCTGCATCCTGGCCAGGACCTGAAGCTATGGAAAACACCCAACGTTTCCTTCCACTAATCAGTGGAGGGTCAGTCAGCTTCCCAAGTGGATTTGTAGCCACATCTGGCACAGCCATTAGAATTTATGGAGATGCATTGCAAAAGCTCTTTTCCACAGTCATTGCAACATAATGTCCTTTCAAAAGGCAGACTGCTGCATCACAATAATGGACTTTTTGCTACTTTAAAATGAACTATCAGTAGAATTCCAGCCAAGGAACAGTTCTATTGCTCAGTCGAGACAAAGCAGAGTTATGCTGATTTGATGTCTACAAACATTTTAGTGGTTAAAAAAGTGGATGGGAGTGTTTATGTAAACCACTAAACTAAACCCTCTCACTTGCTTTTCTTGAATGCTGTTTATTGTCTCTTTGTAGCTGATCTGCAGCTGGGTTGTAATATGCCGTATACAACTTTCTATGTAAGGGAAATCAATAAAATATTTATTTATTTTTTACAAAAGTAAGCCTTCTTCCATTAGCAGTCCTGGCCTGCACTGGGCTGATGATGTGACATCATAATGCAGGCAATCAAATCTGGCAATGTGGTGATGCTTTACAAAATCAAGGCAGAGTGAAACCAGGCAGAGTGAAATAGCTTTAATTATGCTTTCTGACAGGAGGACCATGTGGTCAAATGAGCTAAGGGAGGCTGCTGGCACAAAAACTGTATCAGAGAACACATGCACACACACCCAAGCATTGCCAAAACACACACATCTCGGTGATGTGTGCTACAATATGAGTTTTAATTTGTTTTTGTAGAACAACATGTTTTAATCATCTCACTTTTGGATTGTTGTGATGTTTTACATGGGATTGCCCTGAAGACCTCTCAGAAACCGCAGCTGGTCCAGAACTGGGGGCAGGGTTGTTATGCCTCAGTATGCCCATGTAACACCTCTGTCTAAGAACTGCAATGGCCCCTGGTAGGCTTCAGGGTAAAATTTAAGGTGCTGGTCATCACCTATATAGCCCTTCATGGCAGAAGGTCTGGTTTCTTCAGAGCCCACCTGTCTTCCATAGCTGCTGGCCATCCTATATGATCTGGCAGATTCTACATGCTCTGGGGCCCATCAACTAAGCAATGCTTCCTGTTGGGATCCATAAAGCAGGTCTTCTCCATTGTAGCCACCTATCCTCTAGTCTAGAATGATATCCCTCCAGAGACTCATATGGCTCTCCCTGATCTTATTTAGAGGAGCCCTTAAGACCTGGCTCTTCTCCCAGGCTTTGACCGCGATGGGTGGCAGATTTCTCCAGGGTGCCTAGTTTATATGATGAGGGATGTGTTGTTTGCCAGACACTCTTTCTGTATTCTATGTAATGTTTCATTTTAAATTTTGTATACTGTATGCCACCCAGAGTTAGGCAGCTTATATATTAAATTAAATTTTAAATTAAAATTAAATTAAAACATATGAGCCACAAAAGTCATTGCCGTCTAGGGTCAGACTTACCTGAACAGAGCTATCAAGTCAAAGAAACCCACCCCCTTTTACTCAGTGCAACAAGCGAGAAGGGCAATAACCTACCTTAACAGGATAACAGGGCTCGCATCTTTGACCTTAGTCTAAACATAACGTAATGTAATATGACATAACATAGCATAACATGATGGAGTACTCTTATTGTAATGTGTTATGTTATGAAGTTATGTTATGCTGTGTTTCCTGTTACATTATGTTATTAAATCTGGTGTAATTTTTCATTCTAATTGTCAACTCAGAAAATGCAGGACTATTTTCTCTCTTGAAAGAAAAGTAGCGTTAAATTCACTTGCAGACTGCTATCATTTCCACCACTGCTCCATCCTTCAGAAGCCATCCTGCCATGAATGCACAAACATCTCTACTTCTGCTGATCTCAAAGTGGAGATCTCAAAATGCTGTTTGTGCATTTCATCAAGTGTTAGGAGCCGAGCCACATTTCCTCCAGTTGACCAAGAATAGGGTACCAAGAATATCACTCAGTCAAGGTTCTATCCTGAACTGCTCTGACTCCTGGAGTAATGAGCTCCCTCCATTACCTTTGCACACAAAAAAGGGGATTGCTGGCAAGTCCCATTTTCACAAATGTTTGTTCTGCTTCTGCAGAATCCAAGGCTTTTATCCAAATGAGCTTTTGTCAAAATGATGAAATCTGCATCACAGAAGCTCGGCCATTTGTATACATGTGTAAAGTGTCACTCACAACGCATATAGAAAAGGAGTGATGTAAGACTGATTTTGTCATCCCCTTCCTTAATCCTCCTCCTCAAACTAATGATGCAACATCTCTTTTATCATGTTATACTGGAAGAAACTGAGTCATTCTTATGTGGAAAAGTTTCCTGGTGGAACTTGACAATTGTTACCATATGCATTAGCTGTTCTTTTCCTGGCAGGACACCTAGGTCTTTAATAGCCATAGAACAGGCAGAAACTCACAGTAGTTACTTTTGCCTACTAGTGAATCGAGGTTCAAAGAAAAAGAACAGGCAGTCTTGAATTTCTGATTATCATCACATTTGCAAGTGGGGATGACTGGCAATCCTAGCCCAAAGATAAGTAAATTTTAGCTGTTTCCTAGGAATGGAAAGACTGTGTTACTCACAGGAGGTCAATCCAGGCACGTGGAGCAATACGATCCTCTTCCAGCTTATTGTTGCTCAAAACCAGCACAGTGAGATTCAGGGTTCTGTTGAGGACACCCTCAGTCACCTCCTCAATGTGATTGGAATCTAGATGCAGCTCCTGGAAGTAGATGAGATGATGCAGACACAACCAGAAGCATCTCAGCCACCATCTTCCCCCTGCCTCTCCTATCCTGCTTCCCAATCTGCTCTGCCTCATTAGCTGACATAGATATGTCATTGAGGTAGAATCCATAGAGAGCACTTCTCTACCTTGCCAGCTATCAAAAACAGAGGGAGACAGGTTAAATGAGGCTAGCCATTGATCTATTTCTGAAGGGAACTCAAAGTGATTTATAGATAGGAATGCAGATGGCAACATAAAGTCCTCTATCTGCTTTATCCTCTTATTGCTCTCTTTCTTTAAATCAGATTTAGGTAGTTTTTCAAACAGAGGAATATGAAGTTGTGACCTGTCAGTTTCCCAGTGAGAAGGACAGCCTTAATAATTACCAAAAATTTCCTGAACAACTACCTCCAGCTTTTCAGAGCGCACATAATGAACCACTGATCTTCCAGATTTTGCTTTTAGCCAGGGTTAGGTGGTCAATATTTTCCAAACCAAGTGTTGGCAGTACATCAATTACAACTGTTGCAGAGGTGGTATTCAGCAGGTTCTGACCAGTTCTGGAGAACCGGTAGTGGAAATTTTGAGTAGTTCAGAGAACCGGTAAATACCATCTCTGACTGGCCCCACCCCCATCTATTCTCTGCTTCCTGAGTCCCAGCTGATTGGGAGGAAATGGGGATTTTGCAGTAACCTTTCCTTGGAGTGGGGAGGGAATGGAGATTTTACAGTATCGTTCCCCTGCCATGCCCACCAAGACACGCCCACCAAGACACACCCACAGAACCCGTAGTAAAAATATTTGAATCCCACCACTGAACTGTTGGGCTACAACTCCTATCACCTCCAATCTGCACATAATGGAGATTGCAGTTCTGTAAATGTGGAAGCATGTTAGCTTGGAGAAGTCTGCATCAGGAGTTACATTGTGATCTAAATTTAAGGTATTCTGCTCACCTGCAGAGATGCAGGCAAACCTGATGGGATAGTCCGAAAATGGTTCCGGTCTAGTCTCAGATACATAAGCCTGCTGAGGACCCTGAAAGCAGTAGGGGGAACATTGCCATCATGCAGCTGGTTTCCTTCTAGCTCCAAGGTGAGCAGCTTGAAGAGGCCTGTGGAAGAAAGAGACAGAGGCAATGAATGCCTTTCAGAACTAGGTAGAACAGTGGTGGGTTGCCCCTGATTCGGACTGGTTCTATAGAACCGGTAATAAAACCGGAGGGAGGCTCCGCCCACCGACCCTGACGTCATCAGAACGCTTCTGCGCATGCGCAGAAAAGCGTGTGCGCATGTGAGCTTTGCTCACACACGCGTGCGGCCCCATTGCAAACCAGTAGTAAAAGTAAGTAGAACCCACCCCTGAGGTAGAACCACTTTTTTGAAAATGCACAAATCAGGTTGAAAATAAGCTGTAATATACATTTTACAAAATGCTGCTCAATGTTAGAATGGCAGTGATAAATTATTGTTAGTTGTGAAGTCGTGTCCGACCCATCGTGACCCCATGGACAACATTCCTCCAGGCCTTCCTGTCCTCTACCATCCTCTGGAGTCCATTTAAGCTCACGCCAACTGCTTCAGTGACTCCATCCAGCCACCTCGTTCTCTGACGTCCCCTTCTTCTTTTGCCTTCAATCTTTCCCAGCGTTAGGCTCTTCTCCAGTGAGTCCTACTTTCTCATCAGCTGGACAAAGTATTTGAGTTTCATCTTCAGGATCTGGCCTTCTAAAGAGCAGTCAGGGTTGATCTCCTCTAGGACTGACCGGTTTGATCGCCTTGCAGTCCAAAGGACTCGCAGCAGTCTCTTTCAGCACCATAGTTCAAAGGCCTCAATTCTTTGGCACTCAGCCTTTCTTATGGTCCAATTTTCACAGCCATACTTTGCAACTGGGAAAACCATAGCCTTGACTATACACACTTTTGTTGGCAGGGTGATGTCTCTGCTTTTAGTATGATAAATAGAATATGGTATAAAATACATTGCTGATTCCCAACCTCCACATTAAGCCAAATCAAATTCCATGCTCCCACAGCCTCCTGAAATCAATAACTTAAAAGACTAACACAAAAGGTAAGGGCGTTGTAATTCAAGCATTGCATGGATATACATCAATTATAAAAAAGTTGGTCCAGCTAAATGGTAACATTTACATAACATTACTAGGCAGCTTTGGCTGATTTTGAAAAGCTTAGCGGAGTCAGACCAGATTAGTGTAAGAAACAGCCAGAAAAGTTTTGAGCTGTAGATTAAATTGGAAAATGCAAAAAGCACTTTCTAATTTAACCTACAGCCTGTTGGAAACAGGCTGTGGCAAATCACTGCAGTATTGCTGCCAAGAAAATGGATCAGATGTGCTCGTGAAGTCTCAAAGAGATGCACTCAACTTGAAGGTCTATGGAGATTCTCAGTCATCCAGGTTGTCTCAAGGGTGCTTTTTCAAAAGGTAGCTGGACTGTTTTTTTTCCTTGAGGAAGAAGACATTTTGCTTCTCATCCAAGAAGCTTCAAAGTTCTGACATAGTCCAGTTGTCTTTTGAAAAAGCATCTTTGAGACACTCAACTTGAAGTAGATTTTATAAAAGAATTGGTATCTTTTCTCCTTATTTTAGAAGAAAGGACTGAGAGAGGAGATGATAGGTCTGTAAATCCCTTAGAAGATTTCAAATTGAAGAAGGTCAAATCTTATTCTCCATCTTTACAGACATGGGATAATAGATTTAAGTTATAGAGAGGCAGATTTTGAAAGGAAAACAACAGCAATTCAGCACTGGGACAAAATGCTCAGACATAATACAAATTCTCGTTCACCTGATGTGTTTAAGTGGAAGTTAGAAGCCATTTATTAGTGATGCTTTAATTTTAAGTTCCTGCACTGATCCAAGGGTTGGGCTTGATGGCCTATAGCTCTTCATGGACCCTGCTTTTGTGTACATCATCTTCTATGTAACCTACAACAATTTGGCAAAGAGAGGGGAAAAACTACTCAACTGTTACTTAACCCACCACTGGAAAATCTTTTAGAAGAAGGTTAAAAAGGAAAAGCTAACATTCCTGGTCTTGGTAATTCCAATTTTGTAACAAAGGACCTGGCAATTTTAAGCAAGAAATGAAAAAAAAAATCTAAGTCATACAAACATACAAATGTACAAGTTATGTACATAAGCCCCATTTCCAGAAGGAAATATGAAATAGGAACTATTAGACCATATTTTATCCTCAGAGAGAAGATAGAAACAAGGGGCCTCTGTTAAGTACAAACATAACAGAATTTGCTTACAGTAGGTCCAGTGTGTGTGTCAGCTTCCTGTTTACATACTATTTATCAACTGGTAACAAGCTGCTTGGAAAGCAAGCTGCACATCCAACATGGGAGGTCATAGAAGAAGAAAATAGTAGACCAACAAATGCTGTCTTAATTCTGGATTGATTGGAAACCTCTACTTAATACTGCTTGGGTGAAAGGGTACACTGTAATGTGTGTGCTGTATTAAAGACAACGTGATGTTGTGATTAAGACATTGGACTAAGGCAGAGGTCTTCAAATTTGGCAGCTTTATGACTTGTGGACTCCAACTCCCAGAATTCTCCAGCCAGCTATGCTGGAGGCTGGAGAATTCTGGGTGTTGAACTCCACAAGTCTTAAAGCTGCCAAATTTGAAGACCTCTGGACTAAGGCCATAAGAACCCAACTTCAAGTCACTGTCTCTGAGCCTATCATACTGTGCCATACTGTAGATGTGGAACATAATAACAAAGAAATGTCATAAATAAATATGTATACCAGATATGTCCTTATTCTGGCTTTCAATTTTCAATTGAGGAAATACCTTTTGTGTGCCTATCCGAGTCAATGGCATTCTATTCACTGCTTTTGTCTATTTGACTGTTCAGCAGTTTCAGATATTTAGACACATGGATGCTGTTAGCAAAATGAGTTCATGTATAATAATGGCAAGTCCTATTATATAATTGTTCTACTGTCTACATGTTGGTAGCACATGTGTTGCGTAATGTATAAAACTGCAGAACAGTGATTTTTCCCTAACGTCCTACCCTCCAGATGCATTGAACTATACAACCTATCATCAAATAGCAGCATCTACAAAAAAATTATGAAGGTCACCATGATGTACTTGTTCCCAATGCCTGATGCAATTTATAGCAACTGTGTAGTGATACTGTCATACCCATGTTGTCATTTGTCCTCTACCACATCTCTAATCTAACTAGGACTTCTGGTAGTTGTAGTTCAAATATATCTAGAAAATGGATCGCTTGGATGCAAGGTTGGATCAGTGCTTCTGTATTTCTTTATACTTCAAAAACTCAAAATCAACAACAACCAGAGTTTGAAGCTAGATGTTGGCTGGATTCCCACATGAAGCTAATTCATAATCTAATTTCCTTAATGTGGCTTACCTAATATGTAAATCTAGCCACTACTTATGGTTTGTAAATGATGATTTATGAATTAATGTCTTGTGTTAATTCAATCAATCGTGGATTTGTCAACACGATTAAAAAGCATGGATTAATACATAAGTGGGTACATGTTCCATGGGACTTTATGTGTCCCAGCCCTCCTTTTTATAACCTAGGGCCGTGATGGCGAACCTATGGCACACGTGCCAGAGGTGGCCCGCAGAGCCCTCTCTGTCAGCACATGTACCGTCGCCAGCTGCTCTTCTGGCTTCTGGCCCACACAGGTCGTTTTTCAGGTGATTTTCCAGGCCTTTGGGGGGCTGTTTTCCAGGCTGTTTTCAGGCCATTTTTGGGCCATTTTCAGGTTGTTTTCAGGCCGCTTTTCGGGCCTTTTGGGGGCTGTTTTCAGGCTGCTTTTCGGGCCTTTTTTTTGGGGCCTTTTTTGGGGTTTTCAGGCTGCTTTTCAGGCTTTTGGGGCGTTTTCGCTTTTCAGGCCTTTTTTGGGCTGTTTTCAGGCTGCTTTTTCGGGCCTTTTGGGGGCTGTTTTCAGGCTGCTTTTCGGGCCTTTTTTGGGCCGTTTTCAGGCTGCTTTTCAGGCCTTTTGGGGCCGTTTTCAGGCTGCTTTTCAGGCTGTTTTCAGGCCGCTTTTTAGGCCTTTTTTGGGCCGTTTTCAGGCTGCTTTTCAGGCTGAAAATGGCCCAAAAATGGCCTCAAAACAGCCAAAAAACAGGCATGCACGCCCAGGCCAGCTGGTCTTCAGATTTCCAGGGCTCTGGCGCACATGAAGAACAGCTGGCCAGCGCGTGCATGCATACTGGCCAGCTGGTCTTCGGGTTTCTGGCGCTCTGGCGCGTGCACATGCATGTATGTTCCGGTCTGGGCACTCGGTGCCAAAAAGTTTCACCATCACTGACCTAGGGGGTGAAGGAACTGAGCAATTTTAAGGGACATACTTTTAGCAAAATATATGAAACACCATTGTAACCCCTATTTCTTTAGCGCAGCACATTCTTCTGGAGAAAAGGAAGCATTATTATGTCTAGGACATGGCAGTATTACATAAATCTCTCAGAGAAGTGGATTAACCTAACTAACCTCTCTGGCTAGCAAAAGTTCTAGAATTTTGAAATGAAGGCCCCTGATTACATGCAGAGTTTGTCCATGTCCCAAGACTTTTTGCTATTTTTGCTATCCTAGGAAAAGGCAGTTTGTGAGAGGTCTCATACCTCTGAAGCTCTGTCTCTGAAGTCCTGCTAAATTATTGTCATTCAGTTTAAGTTCATGTAATGAACTTGGCAAGGCTGGGATTGAAGTGAGCTGGTTCCCATCCAGATTTAGACGCTTCAGTTTGGTGAGGTTCTGCGTAGGAAGAAAGAGGATCGACAACAATAGCAGAAAAGAAGTAAGTAATAAACATTGAAATATCGCTGTATTGCAAATAGGCAAAACAAGGTTCAGTAGCAGTGGATGTGCTCTGAATATAAACATGGAGCAGGGAACTGGGCCATGGGACCGGATTACTTGTGGGCCATCTTTTCCCACAAGAGGGGAGTTATAGCTACCTGTCTTGTGACATCCAGTAGGAAAGGCATGTTCCAGATCCCGACTGTTGGTGCGTCTCCAGACAAAAGCCTTTTCTGTTGTGATGCTCTCTGGAACATCACTGCCCCAGAGATTAGATGTGCTCCACCCCTGCTGTCCTTTTGTAATGTAACACCCTAAAAACCTGGTTTTGTTGCTGAATCCAGGGCCCAAGATGTGGGACTGAGTCCATCTCGTGGTTATGTTGACTGCATTCTTAGTTTTACATCAGCTCCTATAATTGTTATTTATTGTTTTTCCATGTTTGTTCTGTTTTTATTTTCTGTTAGCCATGCAGAATCATATGTTTGAGATGGGTATAAATTAAATACATAACTAAATCTCTGGTCTAAATGCTGCATTGCCTGCACTTTCAGCCTCATTTCATACAGGTTTTCCACACAGGTTGAAGAGATACCATAGCAAGTGTGAGAGAGAGAGATGAGATGGCAGGGAGTGAGAGAGAAATGGGACAGCAGAGAGAAAGACAATTTGGCAAAATTACCAAATGTCATTTATCTACAACTGTTACCTACCTATTGACTATAGCTTCTGCTTCACTTTCCCCACAGCATTTCTTCATACGGGTTTTCTATGCTTGATTCAAGAGCCCTTAAATTCACTCCTCCCTGGCATTTTCCCCTTCCATTTCAAATAGCCCTTCCTTTCCAATTACCTTGAAGACTTCTGGGTGCAGGCCGGTCGATTTCAGCTTGTTCTTGCTGAGATCCAACCATTCCAGATTAGGTAATCCCAAGAAAACTCCAGCTGGGATATTGTTGATTTCATTCTCTGGGGGCCGTGGGGGAGAGGGAAATGTGAAAGGTTACTGTCTTAATTAGAGACTGTTTGAATTCTTGAACTACATGTTACACAGTGAGGCAGTATTTGATTCCAAAGGAGGGTGACTGTGTAGGAGTTTCACAGGAGAGGGTTGGGGTTTTTTACCCATCAAACTCACATGCAGCAACTCACAAGATCAACCTACAGCTTTTTCCTACTGCTGAGCAGAAGGTGCTATTCACTCATCCTTGACCTCTACTGGCACTAAATGAGTTGCCTCCATAGCTGATCTCTTTTCTGCTTCTACCCTGATTAGATTCATGCAGTGCATGACTGGCAAAGTAATTGGTTGGTTCTTCCTGCTTTGCTGCCCTCCCTGTCACCAGCCAGCAGGAAAAAACATCTGCCAATCACTGCACTGTACAGGGAACCGGTTGTTCTGGCCCATTCCTTAAACTCACAAGTTCAACCAATTGTGACATTCCCCCTCCTCCCCAAAAAATCATAATAGTAAGAAAATTGAGTTCCTGCCAACATCTCCTGAGGGGAAAATTCTTTTATTCGGGATTTATTTTCTTTCATTCTTTTATTCAGGATTGTTTTCTTTGTTTTCTTTTTCTTCAGAATCATGTGTAGAATTTTAGTGGTTGAGACTAACTTTTGGGGCATTTCAATAGAATTTCACCATTAGGCTATTTCAGCCTATTACATTACTCCATGATTCCTTCCCCAATGACATCCTATTGTTGGTAGCTTTCCCAACATTTCATGTGATACACCACTCAGTCTTTAGGCACTGAACAGCAGAATGACAATGGAAGAGTCAATGTACACATCAGAGTGAATTTTCCAATGAATGTCTCTTTGATCCATTTTGCCCATTACTGGCGACCTGTCTTTGTTGTCAGAGGTGGTGAGAAGTCTAGCATTTAGATACTTGAGGCTACTTCTGGATGGTGTTAAAATTAAAGAGATATTTTACCAGATGCTCAAGGAACCTCAATGGGGAAGCTGAAGGAAGTTGAAAGTCAGTCCCACCCTCATTGTGCTGCTTTTTTTTTTCCTACCTACCCATGGTCATTCTGTTTCTCTGTTTAGGTAAGAAAATATCTCTGAAATGATGACCTAATGACTTTCTAAAACACAGTAGCTAAGTACCCACAATATGCTTGAGGACTCGGTTTGAGGGGGAAATAAGCTGACTTTGTATAAAATATACAAAAGTATGAAGGCTATTGCTTAACGCATTGTAAGCCACCCTGAGTCTCCGGAGAAGGGCAGCATATAAAAATAAATAAAAAATAAAAAATAAATTGCTGAACCCACTTTGCACAAATGTCTATGGAGCTTCTCAGTCATCCAGGTCATGGTTGTCCCAAAGGTGCTTTTTCAAGAGGCAACTGGACCTTCTGGTTTTTCTTTGAAGACGTTTCGCTTCTCATCCAAGAAGCTTCTTCAGCTCTGACTGCATGGTGGGCAATGGAGAAAAAGCACCTTTGGGATACTTTGCATAAAACTTTATAACTTAGCACAACCAGGCTTAGATATATGACTCCATCCAGCAGAGCGCTTAGAACAAAATTCAACAGCTGAAAACGGGTGCATGGATGATTCAGTGATTCACCTGCCAGGTAGAGGGTTTTCAGAACAGAATCAGTCAGTTTGGGCACGTATTTCAAGTTGGCATTCCCACAGGCAATGGCATGTTCAGACAGAAAGCAAGTGGGAGGCAGGGAAGGCATGATGGACTTCTTCCTTTCTTTGGGCTTTGCAGGCTGCTTTTTTGGTGAGCCTATCCTTCCTTGGGAGATATTTGTATGAGGTAAATTTTGTCCTCTCCTAGTTTTTGATTGGGTGATATTCCCCAGCTGAGCCTGGACAGTATTCTTGCTTTGTAGGCCATGTTCAGTTCTGGTTAGGTCCCGGCTGACATTTCTATGGGGAGACCCTGGCTCCTGGCTGGGTAATGACCTGCTTGCGTTCCTGTGGCAAGGGCTCTGGGGCTTGTCTTTTGCTGCCCAGCTGGCATTCCTTGACTTGCTGCTGAGTCTTTTTCCTGGGGATATTCCACTAGCCACCCTCAGAGATGAAGTGAGCTTTTCCTGCAGAAGGGACTGACTAGCATTTCGTGAGGAAGTTGTGGAATCCTTTCTATCTTCAGTCTGGCTACACAGAGTAACCAGTCCTTTTGCCAGCTCTACTTGAATGCCAGTTTTCTTTTTGCCAATCTTCTGGAAGGTTCCCTGCTTTTCTCCAGGAAGCCTCACGGTGACATTTGCAGAGGGCATTCCCTGCAACTTCCCTTTTGGGGGTGGCCTGGCATCCTTGTGGAGAAGCCTAACCTCTTTCTCTCTGGGTGCATGAGTGCTGTTCCTAGTGCGAAGGCCATGTTCCTTCCAGGTCACTGTGCGGTTGTCATTTTCCTTGAAAGTGCCCTGAGCTCTTCCTGTTGATGACCTATTGGTCTTTCTTGATGTGGAGAGGTTCTGCTTTTGCAACAATACCCAACTGGCATTTTTGTGGAGAAATCCAGGGTCGTTTCTTTCTTTTGTCCGAATGACATATTTATAGACAGAAAAAGAGGATGTCCAGTTTTCACTTCTATGCCGAGGGTCTAGAGCTTGTCCTGTTTCCATCTGAGCCACAGTCTTACATTTGCAGGCATCTCCTTTTCTTGCCTTTTTCTTGTGGATGACAATGTCTCCCTGCACTGGTGCTGTTGTGGTATGATTCAAAACCAAACCTGCAGAAAAGGAAATGCACATTGAAAGGCAGAGCCAGATTGCAATATTTTAGAACCTAATGTCTGGAACCCCTTCTCGGCTGACACAGAGCCTAGCACTTAATGAATGACCTCAGAGCCAATTAAGTACAGCCACCCTTATTCAACCTGGACATAGAGTGTAATTAAACAGGCATTCTCCTCTATGAGCCCAGCATAGCTCTTGAAGAATTCCAGTAAAATCTGCTCAGATGAACCTCCTCAGTTCAGTCTTCCACCACACAGCCACTCTAAATGGTCCCTGAAGTCTTAGAGCTGCTCCATGCACTGTTAAATTTCTGTGATCTGCACAGATTATTTCCAACTTGTTGTCCAAAGGATTTGGACTTAATTGGGCTATTTTAACCATTACCAAAAATGGTACGGGCTAATTGATATGAATTCTAACCAAGTGTTATGCACACAGCAATTATTTCTGGAAGACGCGGGCTGAGCCATTTATTAAAATCAAGACATGTTTGCGGATGAATAATTGGCCATGTGCATTTAGAGCAGCGTTTCTCAATCTCGGCACATTTAAGATGTGTGAATTTTAATTCCCAGAATTTTCCAGCCACCATTTGTGGGAATGTTCTGGGAGATGAAATCCACACATCTTAAAGTTGCCGACATTAATACTGATCTGGTGGACTCCAAGGGGCTACTGTATGGAGGAAAAGATTGGTTCCGTGCCCTGCTCCATTGAGCCAGTTAACCTCGCAGGTTTGCTGTGGAAAAAGAATGGCAAGGAGGCAAACTATGTATGCCTCCTTAAATTCCTTGGAGAAAAATAGATACATAAATAAATAAATGTGTTGGATCTTTGCCAATTTACTATCAGCCACAAGGAAATTGCTCTTCCAAGGAAAAGTATCTGCTGGGTGGGTGGTTTTTTTCATAGAAAACATACTTGCAAAATTCTCATTAGAAAGTAGATAGTAGCAACAATCACCCCTCACATTGCTGTGATGGTTCTATGTTGAATTTATATGTACTGATTCATGTACAAACAAGCCTCTCTCATTAATTTATTTGTTAGTTTGTTCCATTTACATAGCTGCCCACTTGCCAGGCAACTGGCAACTCTAGATATATGAAATCATTTCCCCTTTTCCAACTAATTGATCCCAAAGAACCAACAGTCTTTGATTTTGTATTCAAGCACCATAATTAAAGCAGATTAGAAATCCGGCAGCATCTTAATTGTAAACATTAAAGAGCCATTCAGAGAGTGAGTGACCACAAAATGCAATCTTTTGATGTTCCAAATGTGTGAGAACATGAGGAATCATATGTCAGGATGTGAGTGTCTTTGTGTGTGTGTGAGAGAGAGAGAGAGACTGCCTGGATGAGTCCCTGCAGTTTCCTTGGCAAGATTTCAGAAGTGGTTTGCCTTTGCCTGTTTCCTAGAGCTGAGAGAGAGTTACTGGCCCAAAGCTAGCTTTGTATCTAAGGTAGGACTAGAACTCATGGTATCCTAGTTTCTAGTCTGGTGCCTTAATCACCACCCCAAACTGGCTCTCTAAATTCATTGCCTTGAATAATAAATGAACCCCTTTATAAATAATGGCGGAATCACAGGGGATCATCTTTAGCAACAACTACTCAGAAGTGAATCCCACTAAATTTTGTTGGATTTATTCCCCTAATAAGCCTGCTTGTATCTTACATTTAAGAGGTCAAGCTGAAAATAGAAGTTCTGCAGATTAACTGAGGGGCTGATTTTTTTTTTCCTTAACAACTTGTATTTCACTCATACCTTCTGGCTCATATCTGTTCCTTGCTTGGGTGAGGCTGCTGTTGGTCTCCAGGCCAGTAGCTTCTGGTATAGCATGCAATGCACTCATGCTCTCTGTTTTCTTAACACTCAGCACTTTCTTCCCAAATCCAACAGACTCCTCCACTTTCTTAGCTCTGTCTCCTTTTTTCCATGTTTGGTCATCTTGACGAATTGGCACCTTTCTCTTCAAGGCATTGTTCTTCAGGATGGAAAGCTTCCTTCTTCTCAAAGGCAGCTCCTTTCCTCCACCAGAAAGTTTCACTTCAGTGGCAGCAGATCTGGAGAACTCTAGAAAAAGAAACAAGAAAAAGTGATTTAGTTAAGGGTTTCTTTCTTTCTTTCTTTCTTTCTTTCAATATACCCTCTGCACTCAGTTTCAAAAAGTCCTATTATGCCTTCCTCAACACCCTTCAATGTGTGTTGGACTACAAGTCCCACCATCCTTAACCTGAATGGCTCAGAACAAACAGTAACTTGGTTATGTAGAGAGGAACAGTTTGTTTTTTCCCCCTGAAAAAAATTAGAAGCAGGAAGTTGATTTTACTTCTGAAAACATGGCTGGTCTTGAAAATGCTTTTTTCTTTTCTTTTCCATTTCTATGGGGAAATCAAAACACGCTTGTCATGCTGTTAGCCACTAGATGCTACACATACATTCAGTTTGCTAAGAGAGAAGTCCAACATCTTGCCCTCAGGATGATGTATCTATGCTAACTCAAGAATTGCAATAAAATATGATCTGGTAAAATATGACTTGTTCATTATTGATTTGTGGTGGGAATCCAATCTTGTCTACACTGGGTTTGACACTGGGTTCACTTATCACACCAAGCCATAATTTTGCTCACAATCCCCTCTTCCCCCTCGTGACCTCTTGTCTGGACAACTGTAATGTGCTCTACATGGGGCTGATCTTGAAGAGCATTGGGAAACTTCAACCGATGGAGAATGCGTCTGCACAGGTAATAAAGAGTGTTGGGTATATGTAACTCCACTACTTCATGAACTGCAGTGGTTGACAGTGTGTTTCCAGATACAATTCAATTCAAAGTGCTGGTTATCACCTCTAAAGCCTTAATGGCTTGGGGCCAGATTACATAAGGGAGTATCTTCTTCCAGTTGTTTCAACCTATCCACTTCAGTGAGGTTGGACATGCTGCAGGTCCCATCAGTCAAGGAATGTCAGCTGGTGGGAACCAGGAGATATGCCTCCTCTTCCATAGCCCCTGCCCTCTGGATTATTCACCCTTCAGATATCAGGATAATCTCCCAACCCTGTTGGCCTTTTGGAAGGTCATGAAGACTTGGTCGTGTGCCTCAGCCTGGGGCCCTGAGTGTGTTAAGGGCCCCACATCTATAGTAGCAGCTTTACTTGGCATCATATACAGTATATTTATTTTGTACTCTTTTAATAGTTATAGTCATTGTTTTTTATATTTTGTGATGTATGCCACCCAAAATCACTTGTTGAGGTGGGTGACTATAGAAATCAAATGAATAAATAAAAAGTAAAGTAACAGTTAATAATGGTTTAAAAAACACAATTGCTTTGATTCAGACATATTAAATTGAAACTAATCAAAACATGTTTTGGTTTCATGTAATGTATGAATAAAGAGGAAATAACTGTTTTGACATCACTAAAAATGGATACAGAAATTGGGAGGTGGATCAGTTACAGTATGCTGATCGCTGGAGGAACTTGTTATTCTTCAATTCTCTGATTGAAAACAAACCTGAAAATGCCATCAGACCTATAATTTCTCTTTGCATCAGGAATCTGCCTATACAAAGATTATCCCAAGAATTTTAAGAAAATTTGAAGAGTCCTTATTTTGAAGAACATGGCCATTGCAAAGAATATCCAGAAGAGCCTTTTCTGATCTTCCACTACCCAGTTAGGATGGTGTCACTTTGGGAATGGATAATCTAGAAGGAAATATAATTTGGATCAAAAAGGTCTTGTAAATTACTCCTGGACTTTATTGAAGTTGACAGTAGAATCTATTATCCAGACAATTATCCTCTTTACTGAATAGAGTCAAGTAGAAGCTAGAGAGCCATTTGTCTGGGAAGCTTTGAATTTGGTTCCTGAATTGAGTGGAGGTTGGACTTGATGGCCAAAAATTGTAACCTTTCCAGCAATCTTGTTCCCAAGAAGTTTCTGGACTTTATTTACTAAATTAGTCCTGCACATGATGGGACTGATCCAGAAACAATCCAAGCCAGGCACTGATTGAAAGGGGATGTAGAAAGAAGGCCAGGGATTTTTTTTTCTAAAACAAACAAAAAAATCAGATTAGCAAATCCAGAATTGTACTATTCTTTGGTTCTGTGCTCAGCTGCTGCTCAATGCTGATTGTTTCCCTGTAATTTACTGAATGTAAAATTAAAATAGAAGCACTCATATACCACATACGGTACTATAGAGCTATGAACCAATGGTGCCCTGCATTGAACTGACCAATATCTTTGCATATTATTTAGTAACAAGTAAATTCTATTCAGCAAAATTTCTTGCCAATAATTAAATTCTTTAAAAATGTTTTCTACTTTGTTTGCCCAGGGCTGGGGACTGAACTGATGAATAGTGTGTTTCTAACTCCATGAATAGCTTTCCTTAATTGCTTCAACATCGGTTTCTTTTTCCTTGTGGCTACCAATTTTCTTGCATTTCATTTTATGTAATAAAGCAGTACCTTTTTACTTAGAAAAATATAATGAAAAAACCCTAATAATTAGAGAAATAAAACCTATGTGACCAGTAGAAAGTAAGTGTGATTCTACATGTTTGCTCAGGAGTAACTGCCACACTGTTTTATGAATTTTTACTCCATCGTAAATGGAGTCTCTGTGTGTGAATTGGTCAGCTATATAAATTTGTTTAATAAATAAATAAATGTATTTAAAATTTCAGCCTAATAATTATGCTATTCACAAGGCAATTAGCAAGCAATTTTTCACTAATTTTCACCTGCCATTAAAGTTAAACTAGAAAATATGAACGTTTTAATTAAAGTCATGGGAATTCTGTGAAGCCTCCGGCTGCAACATGTAAAACTAACCCCATGTTACAAGTGGAATCTCTCTCCCATTTATTACCATATTGCTGTCTTAATTGTTAGATTTAACAGATGAGTAGGCAAGGAACAGTGTGGATGGTCACATCCAGAGTAGGAAAGGGGAGGAGCGGGAAGGATGGACAGAGTAGAAAATAGAGTAGCTTTCAAAGTTAGCTTTATCTAGAAATGGTGATTTGATGTCATTCACTGAGGTAGCTTCATGGCCACCTATCTCACCTCCCCATTATTTTTCTCACAACTTTTTTTTTTTTGCCTGAAGCCCCTCCCTTATAAAGTTCCTACCATTCAGCCCAACCTTTTCCATGACTCACCTTCCTCCACATCCTTTCCCAGGTTTAGCTCATTCTCCGTCAGCTGCCTTTGGCTTTTCACTGGATGGGCTGACAACTTTAGATCAGGAGAGAAAGAGGAACTCAGATCCTCAACTGGATGTTTGGGCTTATGTCTGACAGCCCAGTAAGTGGGAGCCCAGAGGACCAAAACAAAGAGACCAAGGAAAAAGAACCTCATCGTGCCTCAGTGCAGGCTTCTCAGTGCAAGCCTGCTATTCTCTAGGTTGGGATCTCTCAACTCCACTTATCATCCTGTACAGTGAGAGGTTTTATATTCTTCTTCCCCTCAACTTTGATGAGGGGGAGGAAGGAGGAAGCCAAGCAAATGGAGCAAACACTCTGGCAGTCCAGAGGGCATTCGGCCATTTACCACCAGTTGGGAATCTGACTTGCCTAATACAGGGGACTTTCTCTATTAGTCTTTGGCCAGGCTCCGAGGTCTCACACATTCATGAATGGCTGCTTCTGTGAGTATACACAGCCAACTATTGTCCAGAAATCCATGAACTGTTTCCATCAAGAAGGAGGCATGATATTCTCAGAGCTAAACCAGCCTGTGTCTGCACAGGGCCAAGGCTGTGACTACTGACATCAGTATCTGTCTCACCAAGCACCAGTGCTGATTATTGGTCAAGCCTCGTGCAGGAGGTAGGATATTCATGGTCTGCTTGGTGTTGGGCATTGAACATCTAGTGGAGGTTCTCTTGAAGGAATCTCCCATACCGATGTAACATATAAAGGTCGATCCATTTGTATCTCCTGAAGCAAAGAGACACCAAACCATGATTTTTCTTGGCATCTGGTATCCAAATGGGGAAAAAGGGTGTGGCCTACATGGAGTTATTTTGGACTTGTTTTCCTAGAAACCTCTAAGCCATCATTGAGTTCTATTGCCTAATTTGGAAAGGAGAGATTAGAACACATGTCAGCTTAACAGCAGCAGTAGAAATACAGGCAACCTACGTCTGCTTCTGTAGCAAAGATTACGGATGAGAAACGGTCTGAGCAGTTTCCATTTCTTGACTTTCTAGAGTAATAGACCAATAGACCTCATGGCTTTTAATTATTTACCACAACAAGAAACCTCCCAGCATAAGAAAGAGGGATGACGATCTGTGTGATCATTCAATCTATCATTCAGTTTTGGTTGGCAGAATCTTCTCAAATATCTCCTAATTTTCTGTCCAGTATTTTTCCATTTATATGGCTGTCTGGAAGGATAAAAGGGAAAAAGAAGGCAAACTGACGTGATTAGGAAAGCAATGAAGTCTCCTGGGAGGAACCAAGGTTGGGGTCCCCCGTGTAACACACCTAACAATTCCTTTGATGCACACCAAGTTTCCACCCTTCCTTATTCCTGTTGTTTTAATATTTCAGAGAACATTAGGTCAATATTTGTTACATTCTTTAGAGGAATGCTGTAATATGCCATCTCTTGCATTAGGTGAGAATTACATTAGGACTTCCAACTGAAGCAGCTCCAATCCACTGAGAAGTGCTTAGGTTGTCCTTACCTGTTTTGGCATTGAAGTAGGATTTCCCCCCCTATTCCAACATAGTCTAAGAGCACCCTTGAGGTACAACCTTGGCTGGCTCAGGAATTCTAGGAATTGAAGCCAGCATGGCTACCTCAGGAATTTTAGGAATTGAAGTCTACAAGTCATAAAGAGGCCATCGTTCCCCACCCCTGATACAGCTAAATATTAAGATGTTGCCTTTGCAACAAATATTTGCTTTGTTTGCTCTCATCCTAACCATGACTTCCTCATACTTTCCTTAATAAAAAACACAAATGTTGAATTGGCACAATTGGATTTATGTAACTTTGGGCTACCACAATTTTTCCATGAAACTAGGAACCAAATTTTATAACTAATCCATTTATACCTGCAACTCTTTTACTCCTTGAGGTGAGATGGGTGGCAAATCAATCAATCAAAGAAAGAAAGAAACAAACAAACAAACAATATTTGCATCCCCAAATGGTATTAAGAAAGGGGAAAGGAAGAAAGAAGTATCGAGCAGATTTTTCCAGGTCAAACTAATGATGGGTTATTATCTTTGTCATACAGGAAAAACCCTGTTTCGACAGCTTAAGCATACTTACTAGACACAAAGAGCTATGTGCTGCTGCTTTTTGAATTTATTCATAAGAAAGTTAACTAGGGCACTTTCCCCCACAAGTCCCATGCTGCTGATCCCAGAGGAGGAAGAATCTTTCAGTCCTTCTCATTCTGCAGAACCTATGGAAAGAGGAAAAGGGACTGGCTTTGAGGGATTAAATTAATCATAATGCCTTTTCTTCTTGCCATCTGTCATACCAAGCATTTTTCTCCTACAAGAACTTCCTCCTCATATCTGAACTGAATGGGGAAAATGGAATAGGAAAGTCCTAAAGCTTAGGCATTTTCTTTCATTTGTGCAATAGCCACGTTCATACAATAGACTTAAAGTTAATTATGGTTTACAGAATCAAACTACATTTGGGTCCCAATACAGTGGTATCTTGGTACGCAACTGCTTTGAAACTTATCAACTTTGGTACTCAATGCATTTTGATGCAAAAATTTTGTCCTGATACTTATCATTTGTTTTGACGCACAAAATGTGTCGGTTTTGGCTGCCTTGTAACTCACTATGTATATTATTTCTTATGGGGAAAAAATTGTATGGTACTCATCATGCCTCCTGGAACCAATTAACAATGAATACCGAGGTACCACTATAATACAAAAAGCCATCAGTCAAGATTTAGAAAACACTCTGGATTGTTACATCCAACAGGTTAACCCGCACCTTTTCAGCTCAGTATGTTGTATAAACCCAGATGTATATAACATACATGCGCATAACCAACATGTCTTCACCTCCCTTCTTTCATAATCTCATCCCATTTTAATTCTAGATCAATTTGGGCATTCCATGCATCATGAAAACTTATGTCTTTTATAAAAAAAACCTGATAGTCAGAAAAGATACCAGTCTCCTGAATTTTTGCCACCATAGACTAATGTGGTTCTCCTCCTACAAACCCAACATGTGACTGAGTTCATGTGACCATAGTTGTTTAACTATAGTTTGTCAAATAAGACAAATTAGCAACTAGCAGTGGATGCTAAACCATAGTTTAGAAACCACAATAGTTGAATTTACACAATATAAATCAAAATAAAATACCTAAAGCCTTACAATGAGTTCCTTCATCTTCAGGCACAAGGGCTGCATCTGGTCCTACAGTATGGCATCTTCCAAAGGTTGTCACCAATGTGCAATAGAAGGGGAAAACTATTAATTTATGGAAGTAGTCATATTAATTGTAATTAGGTTTAATTTATATCTAAATTGATTATAGATTGCTATTGATTGAACCTGTGGACTGCCATCCTCAGGAAATTATTCTAACCCAAAAGAGGCCCTTAGCCCAAATAAATGTTACATGTTTCTGGGTTTGTGTGAAGGACTCAGCAATATGATATTCAACTGTCTCCATGTTATGGCTGTCCTTGTAAACACCCTAAGTCATAATAGATTAGTTTGGTTTTGGCTTAATGTGTTATGGGGACTTAATCATTACAGTTTGTAAACTCTAGCTTTGTATCTTGTGGAAACCCAGCCAGCTATGATTGATTCAGACACCATAATTATACCCACCATGGTTCAACACAATATGTCATTCCAAGCTAAACATGAAGTTTGACATTAGGCCCACACTTCCTTTGCCTCGCAGAACAAATGTCAACTGCTCCATGAATTTTTATCAGGAATATAGGGAAAAGATTTTTACACATACACCTGCATCCTAGTTAGATCTTAACTGGGTGGTAATGATCATTACTTTTAAGGCAATGTTTCTCAACTTTGGCCACTTGAAGATACACAGACTGGAAAATTCTGGGAGTTGAAGTCCACAAATCTTAAAGTTGCTGAGGTTGGGAAACACTGCTTTAAGAAATCCTTTACATCAGTCTTTCTTAAACTTTTTGCTCTCGGGGTATCTTCACATTTTTAAAAATTGTGGAGAAAAAAACATTTGTTTGCCATGAGTTACATTAAACATTTACTGTATTAAACATTTTAAAATTGTAAAATGTTTAATGAATTCTGTAAGGATAACAATATTAACCCATTTGATATTAACACAAACACATATTTTTTTCATTAAAAAGCCTTATATTTTTTAAGAAATAAAAATAATGAGAAGCATGACATTGCTTTAATTATTTTTTTTGCAAACAACTTCAATCTCTGGCAAATAATTCTGATTTTCTGGACCCGTGAGAGGTTCTTGGGGGACCCTCCACAGGTCCTCAGACTGCACTTTAAAGAAATTCTGCCTTTCATCATATCCTGTTACTGACTTTTAAACAATTCCAGTCTTGGCTTCTGATTCTTCTGGTGACTCCAAAACCCAAAGCTCAGAATCAGCTGACTGAGGGAGCCTGCTTTTTCCCCTTCCCCTATTTCCTAATTGCTGGCATGCATGTATGTGTGTAGAGCAAAGTTTGAGTCTGGGAGGGAAAAGAACAAATCTTTGGAGGAGGAGATCACACGGCTGCCAAAGGTTTGCAACGTGCTGCTTAAAAGACTTCTTACTCATCCTCAGCCACAGAAATTGGACTCTATGCCAGGTTTAAGATGGGCCTGGTGCTGGGAAGGTACAAATCACTGAAGATTAGTAGGCACGGCACATTAAAACCATGATGCTGCAAAAAGAAAGAATTATAATATAGACATGACAAAGCAATCTTCCAACTCTACCCCCACAATTATATGGAGAACCTGGGGGGGGGGGGAAACCAGGTTTACAGTACATGTGTGTGTTCTCTAGTCCAGCCTTCAGAAGGCACAGTACTGAAAAATTAGGATTAGTTCAACATATATGTTATTGCTCCACAGAATGCAAGAAGATTGTGCAATACATCATTGGACAGATAATTTACGGGATCTGGGCTTCTTCATTTCAGAAAAAAAGAGAATGCAAGTTTTAAGTTCTCTGCAGTTGAGTTTCAAATATTGCACAGCCATAATATAACTGTGGGTTACAGTTTAGCTTGATGAGTGAATTTAGCCAACGGTGGTTTATTTTTTTAAAAAAAAAAAGTTACAAATATAGTGTGATATGTGAACTAAGACAGTACCTGCTGATCTTCGGTCAGGGTAGATTTTGGTACCTCCAGTGATCCTTGTTCACCTTGTATACTAGAAAAAAGTCAGTTTATGTTGAGATTAGTAAATTTATCTATTACATTCTGCAAAGTAGCATAAACTGTGGTATTAGCTTAATCTGTATAATTTATTTAGTCACAAAAACTACCTACTCTTGGAAATAACTTGCCTTGCTTAACAGCAAAAAATATTCCTTTTTAAAGTTTATATTTGAACTGTGTAGCTCAGTTGTATGTATCTTTATTTTGAAGTGAGTTTTGGCAAGTTCCATTTGACAAGGCTGCAGGTCTATAAAAAGCAGGATTTTTTTTTAAAAAAAACAAACTTTTATTCCGAGCCAAATTCATGATTTCCGTAATGCTCAACTTCTTTGACTGAGCTGACATATTTGCCAAACCATAATATGGCTTGCTTGCTTATGATTTAGTATGTTCTGTGAATCCACTTGTGTGGTTCGGCAAATAGTAGCTTAGCACGGCACAGTTATTGTGTTCTTAGTGAGCTTAATATTCTAGGTTATTAATTAGCAAACTACTCAACAGGATTACAGATTAACAGAATTGGAAGGGACCTTGTAGGTCATCTAGTCCAACCCCCCACCCAAGCAGACCCTACACACCATTTTTGACAGATGGCAGTCCAGTCTCTTCTTGAAAGTGATAAAGCTCCCACAACTTCTGGAGGCAAGCTGTTCCATTGGTTGATTGTTCTCACCGTCAGAAAATTTCTCCTTATTTCCATGTTGAATCTCTCCTTGTTCAGTTTCCATCCATTCCTTGTCTGGCCTTCAGGTGCCTTAGAAAATAGCTTGACCCTTTCCTCTTTGTGGCAGCCCCTCAAATATTGGAACACTGCTATCATGTCTCCCCTGATCCTTCTCTTCACTAGACTAGCCATGCTCAGTTGTATTATGCCCAGTCACTAGACTAGCCATGCCCAGGAGTATTATTAGGAACCTGACAATCCATAACTGTTCTTAACTGTGAATTTATTTGGCTGCAAATAGGCTGCAAGTGGAAGCAAAATGGCTAACTTGTACAATAACTTTATGATCAAATGCATGTTAACAATAAAATGGATCAGATAGAAGTTTATTCATCTGTACTACAATCTGGTGCCTTCTAGAAAACTTGGATTGCAGCTGTCAATGGCCATGTGGGCTGTGAAAAATGTGAATCTAGATGGTGCAAGGTTGGATAGAAACCAGATTTCAATGCAAGGTATTGTATGGATTTAGCCCACTTTGGGGCTAAATTGGTCATATTTTGTAAAACCATTGCTTATGATTTAGCATGTTGTGTGAACCCAGTCTCTTTCTATTCTGCATCTATTCAAATATTCATCTGTAAATGCCTTTCCTTCAGCTTCTTGCATTGTACTGGGAATATAAAAATATGCAAGGACATTTGCATTTATTTCTGCATGCAAATTTCCCTAACATATAATATAAGATGTACTTTTTAATATATGGTTGAAATCAGTGGTGGGTTGCTCCCGGTTCTGTCCAGTTCTTTAGTAAAAGCAGTGGGAGGCTCCGCCCACCCATCCGGATGTCATAATTGACTATCTGTGCATACGCAGAAGCTTCAGAAGCAGACACTCCCGTTGTGAACCGGTAGTAAAGGTAAGTAGAACCCACCCCTGCTTGGAATAGAGAATGAGTTCACAAAATACAGAGAAATATTCAATTCAATTGACAGCCATGTTCCGTTTTGTATAATAAGCATAAATTAGATGGGTTCTCTTAGTAGGGCAGGCCAAATCAACAACTCTGAGCTCTGTAGCCTGGGGGAGAAGCCTTTGTAAGTTTTCTCCTAGGTTTTCTGAAGGACAGTCCTGCCTGCTGAACCCATGGCTCTTGCCAACAGCAACTAGTCCTTGGAGGAATATTTGTTTCAAAGACAGTAACACAGATCTGAAGTATGATGGGAAGGTGAATTAATAATGAGCTAAACTTTATTATCATTCTTTGTTCCAGAAGACTTTAGAGCCAATTCCCACCCCTTTCCTGTTTTTCATTCAACCTGATCCTGTTCTTTTGATAGAAACCATCTTTCCCATAGCTCTGGCAGCTGGTTCCCATTACAACGCCTCTTGAAAGAGCTGTTTTAAAATGCTTCAATGTAATTTTTGTCCAAATAAATTCATGGCATTAGGCATTGCCCCAGGGCTCAGGCTAGGACATTCTGGACTCTCAGCTTTATTGGGGTTTTTTTTTTCAAGGTTGTGTTGTGAGATAAGGCATCAGGAGACAAATGCAATATCTTTTCCATCAAAGACAGAACAGAAGCTAGCATTTTGGGTTTTGGGTGAGTCAGACAAATTGTAAACAAAGGCAGCAAAGAAGGGTGTCAGTCCTTTGAGATTGGATGAACTGAAAGTGATTTTTTTTTCCAAGTACAAATTCACTCAATTCTCTTTAGCAAGATTTATTGAAATGGAAGAACAGTCATTCAAGAGTTCCAACACATGGACTAACTTTCAATTTAGAACAAGTATATCTCCATATAAATGCCTGCCTAGTAACTGATCAAAGATTGGGGTGGTGTGAGCTGCACAACAGAACTCTTCTGCTTTAACCCAGCCCCCCCATACTTGAAACTCTGAACTTTTTATCTTTTTCTCATAGCAGTGCACTGAAGTTCACCAATAACACAGGAAGATTATTTAGTGAAGGGTCCTGCCTTGAGCAAGGGCTTGGACTAGAAAACTACCGAGATGCCTTCCAGACCTATAATTCTACATTCTATGCAGCTGGTGGTTAACCTGTGGGTTAATCTTGTCAGTCCAACTCTTATACTGGCCCAAGGATTAATAGAGAAATATACAAAACTATACGAATCTGTATCCTAGGTTCTCTTAAGACAGGTAGCATCTCAAGCAACAGCCTTCCTCTTGGTACCTTCAGATATGCTAAACCAGCATCATTCTTACATGACTTGTAGCCAGTGGTGAAATCCACATTTTTTTACTACTGGTTCGTTGTTGTTTTTTTATTGAAAAGTTTTACAAAAAAAACCCCAAGAATTTTCTTTTCCCCCCCTTTTCCCCCCCCCCCTTCCCCCCCCCTCTCCCCCCCT